GAGTAGCTGGGCATTGTGGTGGACGCCTGTGGTCCCAGCTACTTGGGAGGCTGAGGCAAGAGAATCCCTTAAGCCCAAGAGTTTGAGATTGCTGTGGGCTGTTTGGTGCCATGGCACTCTACCCAGGGCAACATGGTGAGACTCTGTCTCAAAAAAAGAAAGAAGGTAAAAACTAAGTCAGTTTTGAAGATGAGTTGGATTTAGATGGGTAGAGGAAGGGAAACCTGAGAGTCTCAGTCAAGGGCAGTAGCAGGATGAGAACATCTGAGAAAACTGTAAAGTGAAAGACTGTTCCAAGCTCATGAGTGCATCAGTCTGGTGGAGGGGTGGGGCTGTGAGGCAGAGAAATTTAATGGGAAGGAAGGTGGGACCAGAGATGTTTGAGGGCCACCCTAAGAAAGTTGGGCAGCTAGCTAGCGTAAAGAACACCATCAGGGAAATTTTGATAAAGGAAAATTTATCAAATTAATGTGGCAGCAGCTAAAAGTCATTCCTTATCTTTTGGGTTAAAATCATATTTTCACTAAAAGATGATTTCTAGTTCACCTATTCAGACTTTCACCTAACTACTTTGTGCCTGTCAATCCTATTTTCCTGTGTTTTAATCAGCTTTTTTCTTCTTTAGCTATTAATTTTTGGTTTTTGAGCTAGATAGGATTTTTAAGGATCTGATCAAGAAAGTATAAGGGTGCAGGGCAGGTGGAAATAAACAAAGCTAAAAATGATAATGCCGTATGTTTGAGAAGTACATTCTCTTGCATTATCTTTTGAAACATTGAGCGAGTACACCTAACCATATTACAGATGCAAATCCAAGAGTCAGGGCATTTAAGTGACTTGTCAGTTTATAGAGTTCAGGCGTTCCTGAAATCTGTTTGTGTTGTAAAAGTATAGTTTACTTTTATTAACTATATGGGATTGCTGCTTTTAAAGTCAAGCAATGTTAAGTTTTCATAGACTTCTTTCATGAAGAGTTCTCAAAAATAAATCCAAGATAGCATAAGGATTAATGTTATTCCCCACCATATTGCCTGTTCAAATGCTTTCTGGAAGAAAAGATTCTTTTTTT